GTTCGGTTTTGGTCGTCGAACACGCGTAGTTCTGCACCGCAGTCGTTCGACCTTTCTATATGAGCGTCGTGCGAGCTGTGTCTCCAAGGTCCGTTTTTTATGAGTTACCCCGTTTCCATCTGATGCTTTCCAGCGTANCAGTCGTTCGCACTTTCTATATGAGCGCCGTGCGAGCTGTGTCTCTAAGGTCCGTTTTTTATGAGTTACCCCGTTTCCATCTGATGCTTTCCAGCGTACTACGTCGATTTACCCACATAACACAGGCTAATTTTATTGAGCTACAAAAATTACCAAGGGAGTTAAATGGAACAACTGGTAACAAAAGTAAACGAGCTTGTGGTACAGCGCATTTAAGTGAAAATGCTCACCTTGGACAACTTGGTGGCATCTGCACAAGCCAAAATTGTCCGAATGCTGTAAACCTTAGTACCACTGTCTATTGCTGGATCCAGCAGCCACGCATGAACTGTACCGATGTGGCTGGTAGAGTATATGCCTGTGCATGTTTAAAACCGACGCCATTACATTGTTCCCAAGGCACCAGGACCGGCGACATACCACAATGATCGGAGTGGAGTGAAGTAAGTAAGGAATTGGTGAACAAAACACGTGATCACTGTGCGAGCTATTGCGATTTTCGCCGTCTTCAGGCGAGATTTCACTACTTACGGCGAGCTACCAAACCCGAACCAAACACGGACGAAATGCCGCAATATAATTCGAACCCCGCGCGCAAAACTCACTGGTACAATCGAGTCTCCTTCACCCGTCTTTTCGTATCGGAAAAAATTATATACCGGAGCAGCAAGCAGCTCGTGGGACGTGATTGTTTAAACTAGGGAAATCCTTTATCAATGACAGTGTTCGTTGTGTGGGATTTTGAGTGAGCGTCATCGTCTATGGGTAGGTTGAAAATGCAAATACTCAACCGCCGCTAAAACGGAGATGAAAACGTTAACAGATATTGTAGGACATGTTCATGTTTTGATATAACATGTTGACAGCTAAAATCTTCCAAGGGGGACACACCGTCCGTCATTACCGACATCGTTCTCCAACAGGAGGATCTGCAGCATGTTCCCGATCTATCGGACGTAAGTTTCGATACTTATGGTCACATGTGTGCAAGTATACGTATATGTTAATTTCACTATAAAAATAATCAATCTAATGACTTGGTACTTGTGTGACGTAGGTTAAAATATATTTTGTATATTTATAGGTGAATAATTTTCCCACTCACAAAATGGCCGTAGCAAAACATACTATTAATCCCTCTTCCTTAAAAACCCGTTCACGTGGATCAGTAACAATTGTTATTGGTCATTTTGAATAACAGAATGCTTATAATACTAGGATCGCTTCGTACCTTTCATTCGAGGTCACAATGAAATCTTACAGAAGGTTAAATCTAATTCAATTCTTCTTTGCTAACGGGTCATGATTAATCTTAAAGGTAGATCCTTATTAGTGGGGGTTATGATACATAGAAATCCACTACTCCATGCGGTTGAAGCCATTGGAAAGGATATCTGAACTCAATGGCTTTTGATCCAGTTTTCATAGGAAGGTATCATTCGTACATAGCTTCAAGCGTCATCTAGGGAGACCTTAACTTTCATGCGGCTGATCTCCCACTCAATATCTTGCACGATTGGTGAAGCTGTTTGCTGTCCTTGTTCCAGTGCCTAGTTCGGGAAATGACACACCGATGAGGAACACAACATCTTTGTTGCGAACAAGCGAGTGGGATAGCATGATTGTGAAAATATATTAGTGCACTACTGATGATGGCCATAATACAAACCAGAAGTTTTTAGCAAGGTTGAAGTACACTTTCTATATGAGCGCCGTGCGAGCTGTGTCTCTAAGGTCCGTTTTTTATGAGTTACCCCGTTTCCATCTGATGCTTTCCAGCGTACTACGTCGATTTACCCACATAACACAGGCTAATTTTATTGAGCTACAAAAATTACCAAGGGAGTTAAATGGAACAACTGGTAACAAAAGTAAACGAGCTTGTGGTACAGCGCATTTAAGTGAAAATGCTCACCTTGGACAACTTGGTGGCATCTGCACAAGCCAAAATTGTCCGAATGCTGTAAACCTTAGTACCACTGTCTATTGCTGGATCCAGCAGCCACGCTTGAACTGTACCGATGTGGCTGGGAGAGTATATGCCTGTGCATGTTTAAAACCGACGCCATTACATTGTTCCCAAGGCACCAGGACCGGCGACATACCACAATGATCGGAGTGGAGTGAAGTAAGTAAGGAATTGGTGAACAAAACACGTGATCACTGTGCGAGCTATTGCGATTTTCGCCGTCTTCAGGCGAGATTTCACTACTTACGGCGAGCTACCAAACCCGAACCAAACACGGACGAAATGCCGCAATATAATTCGAACCCCGCGCGCAAAACTCACTGGTACAATCGAGTCTCCTTCACCCGTCTTTTCGTATCGGAAAAAATTATATACCGGAGCAGCAGGCAGCTCGTGGGACGTGATTGTTTAAACTAGGGAAATCCTTTATCAATGACAGTGTTCGTTGTGTGGGATTTTGAGTGAGCGTCATCGTCTATGGGTAGGTTGAAAATGCAAATACTCAACCGCCGCTAAAACGGAGATGAAAACGTTAACAGATATTGTAGGACATGTTCATGTTTTGATATAACATGTTGACAGCTAAAATCTTCCAAGGGGGACACACCGTCCGTCATTACCGACATCGTTCTCCAACAGGAGGATCTGCAGCATGTTCCCGATCTATCGGACGTAAGTTTCGATACTTATGGTCACATGTGTGCAAGTATACGTATATGTTAATTTCACTATAAAAATAATCAATCTAATGACTTGGTACTTGTGTGACGTAGGTTAAAATATATTTTGTATATTTATAGGTGAATAATTTTCCCACTCACAAAATGGCCGTAGCAAAACATACTATTAATCCCTCTTCCTTAAAAACCCGTTCACGTGGATCAGTAACAATTGTTATTGGTCATTTTGAATAACAGAATGCTTATAATACTAGGATCGCTTCGTACCTTTCATTCGAGGTCACAATGAAATCTTACAGAAGGTTAAATCTAATTCAATTCTTCTTTGCTAACGGGTCATGATTAATCTTAAAGGTAGATCCTTATTAGTGGGGGTTATGATACATAGAAATCCACTACTCCATGCGGTTGAAGCCATTGGAAAGGATATCTGAACTCAATGGCTTTTGATCCAGTTTTCATAGGAAGGTATCATTCGTACATAGCTTCAAGCGTCATCTAGGGAGACCTTAACTTTCATGCGGCTGATCTCCCACTCAATATCTTGCACGATTGGTGAAGCTGTTTGCTGTCCTTGTTCCAGTGCCTAGTTCGGGAAATGACACACCGATGAGGAACACAACATCTTTGTTGCGAACAAGCGAGTGGGATAGCATGATTGTGAAAATATATTAGTGCACTACTGATGATGGCCATAATACAAACCAGAAGTTTTTAGCAAGGTTGAGTGGGTGGGTTGCAACACGTATAAAAATGAATACCATGCGAAAAAGGGAGCAAGTTGAAAAACAGAACTTATCGTCTGTTTGAGTTCCTTGTTGAAAGTCCGGGGGCGATAACGTGTTTTCCCCGCAGTGCGAATGCTACCCATGTTCCATAATTGCCCGTGGACTTGTGGAGAGATTGACTTCCGGCTCCCTGCGCGCACGCGAGTCTGTGTGTCGACTGTGTTCGGTTCTCTATATGTAGGTCAGTTTGCGTGTACATGGGTGTGTTAGCACATGAGGTGTTGCTACACTCACTAGACGGCACCGACAATCAATGTCCGACGTGGTTTGCGAGTATGAAAAAAGATAAGTCTCGTGATCCAGTGAGCGACTGTGAGGTGAAAAGTCAACTGTGTGGGTGACTGAGTAGCTACACGACCATGGCATCAAACTATTTCATTGGATGGACACTGTCTAATCTTGATGCAACGCTGTCTAGCGCTGTCTGGTGTTGAAACAAAGCTGTCATGTGCTGCACAACAAGGAAGTATTGTGTCTGGTCAGCACCTAGAGGAGTTGAGGGTCCCAGTAGATTTCGGGCACACATTGGTTGTTCCCAACAATCTGACTTTCCTGATTACCGTATCTAATCATTCACGGTAACAGGAACGTAAAAAATACGACTAGGTGTTTTTAACCTGGTTTACTCATATTCTCACATAAAAAAAGTAGAAGTTTCATCGTCGACAGCACGATGTAATTGTTCGGCACTATTGATTAGCTGCTGTACTACCGTGATTTCTTTTAAAGCCCTATTGTGAAAAAATTGGATAAATATGGACGGAAAGAGCGATAGACAGACTTTCATAATGATGAATTTGGCTATCATCCACCGTTGAGGAATAGCAAGCTTTCATCTTTCTTAGTATTTAGATATTTGACTGTTTGGTTTGTTGAAATTCTAACAGTCTCCGGGGAATTTTGATTCTGAGAACCTTAGAGCCTACCATTAACAAAACTATGTAATTCCGATTCTGATATTGATTTTCAACTTTTTACCCTACACTTCAGTTCAAATACCTGCGACTTTTGGACGTTTCATGCAATCGACTAACACAACTCGCATTTTTATCAAACAATAAGGTGAGGCTTACAACGGTATTCGTTAGAAGTTTAAAGTTAATTGAGACCTTATTAGTTTACGACAATCAACTGGAGAAACTAGACGATATAGCAAGGTAAGAGACCTCCTTTTCTACACAAAGCCCAGCTTGCCAAATCTCAAGATATTGCACGCACAGTACAACATGATTCATCGGATTGATTCCTGCTTTTTAAACTTGGTAAACCTAACGGATGTTCGGTTGGATACGAACAAGATTGAACATATTTCTTCCGAAACGTTCGCTCATTGCAAATCATTGACTGACTTGGATCTTAGTTATAATTTGCTAGAGAGTATCGAGGTAAGTACGGATGTTGTTCCAGCATTCACCAATCATACTTTCAGTTTGTGCGTTCAATAAGAAAACTAACCTATGTGTCATTGAGTCATAACAAAATCCGATCTCTTGTTCCACTAGCACAATGTAATTCAGTGAGTCAAGCAGGAGCTTTTCTCTCTTATTCGTCTTCTAGCTACTGGATGCAGATGTCAGCGATAACCTGATTACAGACCATGCATTGGGATTAGAAGGCTACCCAGTTATCCAACGACTAAACTTAGCAAACAATCAAATTTCTCAAATGGACGATTTAGACCCTATTCGGTAACCACAACGTCATGAATGAGATTATATGAAACTCAGGACTTTAGCGTCACTGAATATCAGCAATAATCGGTTGCAGAAACTACCAAACTTTCACACGTGTTTTCCAAATCTGGAGACCCTGGAAATGGCCGGAAACCCTCTGTTTATCAACGATGAGTTGTTGGTAAGTAATCGCTTTACTTGGCTTGAATGACACCCATAAAACAAATTACTAATAGATTCTACATGATTTCTCCCGCATTATAATGTTATGATAACATAAAAAAACTCAATACCTCAAGCACAGAACTGGCCATGGTGGCCAAAAAACTGGCTACCGAGATAAGTAAGATCCAAATCATCCAAACCATCTAAAGCCAGCTGTCACCAATAACACAGGGGATACCTTTGAAATTAGTTTCTTGCTGCAGTTATGACAATAAGCCTAAGTTGAAGAACAAAGGTTCTGGTTATCTGCCAGCACAACAGAATTTACTCCAGGAAAACCATTCACTGGAGAGGCCAGAAAGCCCACTTCTTCTTATAGGCTCATTTTCGGTGAACGACTGCACGGTGCTTAACGTGCTCCGCACAGTCCGGTTTTATACCTCTCAAGGGCGCATTCCTGTGTGCAGAAGGTGCTTTTGAAATGTATTTAGTTCACGTTATTACTATGGTATGTGAAGCTAAAGACGGCTAGTTGGTGCAGACGAGAAATTACGGACCGACAATTCGTGGTTGAAACCAAGCTCTGGCAACCTATCAGCATCTCAGCCCTAGGGTCCCATTCGGTTTGCGTGACAGAAGGGCAATAAAAGCTTGGTATGCAAAGAAATGGTAAGAGTAGCGCAGCTTATATTGATTACCGTTGCTCGTAGCATGAACACAGCAAAGGAATGAATTCTACCGCGACCTAAAATAACAATATTTTTATGTGCGACCAATATTGAAAAGATTCCATATCAGTTAACGGGGAATTAAATGGCTATATGTTCTATTGCAGATGTAAAACCAGAGTTGATCAACTGACGATCGGGTGGAGCTTGTTTTATTTACCCAGGCTTGAACGTTTTTTACGCATTCGACGGTGTGGAACCAATTCTCCTATCTTATTTGATATGAAAACAATAAATTAAAACCAGTACAGAACTTACAGATCAGGAAATGTAGTAAGAACCCCAAAGATGGCCGATTCCTCCGTTAAACCGTGTCATGGAAAGTTACTTCAAATTCACTCCTCTTTGAATGAGAAATAATGCTGTAACTGAGAAACACAAATAACGTAGCCATTTTGACGGATCTTATTATGGCTTTCGCTGACCTTTGAGTTTTGTTCTTTCGGTTCCTCGGAAACGATTTGTTTCGCGTATCTCATCGGTGTATATGATTCTGTCTAATTTGATATGACGCAGTTGAACATTTTAACCCAGTCGGACTTTACCAGGCTTTGAAGCCAACTACTTAGTAAGCTGCAACTTCGGTCTGTATTCCTACTTTGTTTCCTGTATCGTTCACCCTGATATCTTTCACTATATAGGATGACTTGGCTCAGTGTGAAATGCTTCGTGAGTTGACATTGGACGACAACACTGAATCCACTGATTTCAGCGAGCTGCAAGGGAAAGTGTCAGAACGGGTGCCACAGTTGTTCCGAATGAACAATGTAGGTTTCTGTGTTCTGATTTCACATTCACACCTAAACACCCAAGTGTTTGCCAGATTCACCTCGTATGGATGCCACGTTACTGGTGAAGCCAAAATACCCTCATTGTTGAAATCAACAAGGCTAAAGACATCCATGACTAGGTCTTAGTTGTCTATAGTCGGGCGTATGATGTGAGGCAACCGAGTAACTGGAGATACCCCTAATGCTCATCCTGGAGAAGTTACTTTTACGTCCTTTGTCACACAGTTATTGCAGTGGCCCATAGCTAAGTCAACCCATTTCCTTTTTTAACATCAGATGGTAACTTACTGAGTAGTCACATCAGCTCACGGTCTAGAAGCAATCGGCTATGAGAACTGAGGACTTTCCCCATGATTCCTCTGACCGAGTTACTGGAATCGTTTGAAGTGCTCCAGGTTGAAATACACAGTACCAAAACCTGGACAATAAGGCAGTGACCTGATGGTTGGCCTAGCCAACAGTCGAAAAAGAGGGACTGAGGGGCGGGGATTAGTGTGGTTTTTATATAGGCCCTAAGCTGTAGCCAAGGACTAGAATTTCTGACTAATGTGGCTGACAGAGGTAGCCTAACATAAGAGTGTAAGTACAGCGATATATATGTCCTTCTTGGTTGCACTTCACAGGCCAGATGAGATAAGCACCACATCCGGCTGTAGCGTCCCTTAGCTTTCTGACCGTGGGGGATAACTTGCCAGCGGTTATAGTCAACCTCTGTGAGATCAAAGTTTCGGGATCACTAAAACAGCTTGTTCTAGCCAATACTCACCCTTACGTAAGACGATGCTGATATTTCTGGCGAAAAATAACTCCTGTTGCACAACTTCGCGATACCTTGGAGCACGACCTGAATCCGGACGTGAGTAGTTTGCTCAATTTTCATCAGTACTTGCAACGAATGGCTTCTGCTTCACGGGCTGGTATTACCATCTAGTTATTTGAGGCCTAAAATACGATAATGGGAAGACAACTCTTGGAGTTTTTATTCATCTAAAGACGGAATAGCATTTGAAGTCCAACGCACAAACGAAACGCATTAAGTTGAAGCCAAGGAATGGCTCATCGATTTCGGTGACATTTTTTGTAGGGAGCCATGGTCACATAACGTCAAGGTGCTTTATGAGAATGGGTGAGTAGTGGTGCCTTTCCAATTTAGCGGTTGACCAAACATTCTTAGCTAGAAGTTAAGATCCAAAATTCCTGTTGAAAGTTTGGGGCTAAGAACCACACCCGAGATTCGCTGATGGCGTTTCTTGATGGCGCCTAATCCGGGGTTGAGCATCTGGACAGATTGATCGGAAGCGGACACAATTGAAAGACAGACCGGGCAAGTGCTCCTTAATCACCTGGTTAAGATGCGCGCATGTTCAAGTGCCTGAATAATCACAGTAGCAATAGGTGGTGTAAACACTATGCACTGTGTGGCAAATTAACCCATAGAAGAAAGTACCCTAAGCGAAAGGGAGCAAATCTAGACGAGGAACTGACTCAAACTGGCATCAAAACGCAAGAATTAGATAAGTTTGTAACTGGACTATTTTAAGATGTTTTCGTCTAGGTGCTTCGTTGTAATCCGCAAATCTGGGATAACAGTGTAATACGTCTTATACTAATCTCACTACATACTATGGCAGAGCACTGCTCGATAAGTATTTAGTTCGCAGGCTCTTTGGATTTTCCGTTCATCGGAGCTTTCATTGTAAGCAAGCTTTTGTTGTTTTGTTTTTAGACAGACCTCAAAAAACGGTCGTCCAGAAATACCGATGGAATGAAACAATGTTATGAGCACAAAAGTAAGCGCATCCGTGTCATCGTACGACAGGTTTTCCTTGCCATAAATAGGACATAGAGGCGTTCTCCATTATCCACGGCGGAGTCCATACTCCGCAGTCCGTTTCGATATTCTTCTTAGATGAGAAAACTGGCTAATGTGTAAAAAAGAGGAAAGTCAGGTCTTTCACCAGAAAGAAGACCAGTCACGTATCTGTAGACTTCTGTGTAGAACAAACCTCCAACAATTTCAAGTTCAGCACCACTCATTGGATATATATATATATATACTTGAACCACAAAGTCAGAATTGTTGGATAGATATTTTGGAGAAACATTATGTTGTAAACTGTCACACAATACCATCTGAAGTAATTCTTTATATAAAGACGACTCGTCCGCAGGACATATTGCTTCGCTCCTCGAAGAGCACGATTTAGTGTAGGACCACCTGACCAGGAATATCAATAATTCGTCTTAAAACGGGCAAGGAATGGAGTGCTTTTAACACCCATTAATAAAGAAATGTTCCATTTTATCAATTCGTGCGTGAAACTGTAAGTGATTCCAAAAGTCTTTCATGGGATATCGAACTTAGCTATAGGCCTGCTGAGAATATAAGGTACGACACAACTAAAAGAGCGTCCAAGTTAAAACACTTAAGAGGGGTTCTTATGAAGCACGATATACTTCCAGCTAAAAGTTGCTTTTTGTACGTTCCAAAGCAGCCATTTTTTTATTTTTTAGAGCAAGTGTATGACCTCATTGAGAGGCAACTCGCTGCCTTGACAAGCATGACTGCCCCGCTCCAGGCATCGTTGGATAAAAGGTGAGCTGCGAAAATACAAAAAGCTGTTTTCCAAGCACAATGGAGTCCGCCACGGCTGGCGATTGTGAACAGAGTGGACGGAAACCCACTGTGTGTGCCTCACCAAATACGGTCACCAGCTATCCTTCACAATATATCCAGCTAAGTACACATTGGATAGCACCCATGGTGGTGATATTCTCTTTTACTTTCTTAATTCACACTATCATGGATATATATGACAGCTTTCTGTCCTACGTTACTCTGATTGAGTTCTCCGATGCAGTATCCATGCCTTCTGTCTATTTTAGCTTCGATGCTGTCAGTCAACTTTTTGCTAAAGTTGATGAAGAAATGGAGAAGCGAACCAGTCGCGCCTTGACCGAGTCAGTCAACATGGCCAGATCCAGTGTAAGGTATGTTCTTAAACAATATACTATGCTAACTTGTCGGACTGACTACCATGAATGCCACTCTATGAAGACAAATGACGTAATCAGAGATGGCTGTGGCGGACAAAACCAGCCCATAAGCATTGGTGGCTCTAATTAAAAGAATTGGCTGGAAGATTGGAGTGAAATAAGGTTTCAAACCATAGTCATAAGTGCACGTACTCTTACGTACTGTACTTCGTTAAGTCATAATACCCGCATCTCCAGTGAAATAAAAAGAAAAACATCATTTCTGCCAAATTATCAAGTTCACTAGTCAGACGTGCAAGAGTATCACCGGTCGGACTACGACCAGAGAGGCCACCAGTTCGAGTGGATCAAGACATTTTACTAGTGGTGTACCGCGGGAACAGTAACTGAACTAGTTGATTTCCACAAGTCCACCGGCCAACGATGGTCCATTCCACAAAACGACTCCTCTGGTTTAAGGTTGAAATGGGTATCGGCGCCAAAGATTCCAGAACAACCCAACACCGGCGAGGTTGAAAAAAGGCTTGTTAAAGGTGTTTCATCACGACAAGCCTGTCATTTTGATATCACGCCAACCGAAATTCCAAGCATCCTTATACCGCCTAAGAGGATTAATAGTAATGGGAAAAGTTGGACACAGAACCAGTTAATCAAACCAGTTACCCATTCGCTTCGTTGTTGACTTTATGATTTACCTCAAGAACAAAATCAATCAATGGTATCTCCAATGTTCTCGGTTTGGGCAAGTACATTTATGCATGTATATTTATCGACCAGAACGGCGCAGAGGCTGATGGCTGGTGGAAATTGCTAAGCATCCCGGTGTGAATTGGATAGAAGGCGTAGAACTAGCAGGCGTGTGGAGAACGGTTTTAAATCAGGAGAGCTGAAACGTGCTGATATATGGTTAGCAGAAACTGGGGCATTAACCGAAGTGGCTTACATCTGAAGTGCACCTAATCTCAGCTACCTCCTCCCGGCAAAACTAAACTGGTGTAGAGCCCACATACCGAAATAGCTCACTGAAATCTGTCAGTAGCATCCAAAGTGAATCATCAGTTGGACCATATTGAAATGAAAGCTTACGGAACCAAACCATGCCGGAACTAGTTTGAAATTCCCTCAACCCACCAACTGTAAGCTCTAGAAAAAATTGAAAAAAAATCGTTCAGCTGTTATACCATTTCCGTACCCATCTGCCATGCCACGCGGAGGCAAGGGGGCTGGGATACTGCCAGGTCGCCCAAGCCTAGACTGGAGAAGTCGAGGGGCGGTGGTCGGGTTCGAACCACCAACATTCCGGTCAGTAAATTCGTGCTCTAACCACTTGGTCGATCTCGCCCATTGGCTCTAGGCAACTTTGCTTACAGAAAAGAACCTTTGATTGGTATTTTATAGTAAACTAGTGTGCTAATGTGAAGAGACATCACTGGTTCCCTCTGCCTCACACGCTGGTCAAATTGGTGACCTGCTCACTTGATCCGATAGGTTTGTGTCAAAAGCGAAACGTTGACCAGTTAAAAGCTTCCGATTGTTTACCGAGCACTTCTGAAACAACCTGCAGTTCAAACGATGGGCTTAAGTTACACGCATCATTTGCTCAAGAAATTTTCAGTTGAAATGCCGTCCAAACACCAACTTACTTGATGTGAACTATGGTGGACATATAAGCTAATCAGCTGTTAGTAGCGTGAGGTGGGCTTACGCATTCGAATCTCAGAAAGTTCCGGGATGCTGGCATTTCCGGACAGGCATGAAATGGGTATGTAACCTCTCCGTTTTTCACAACACTCACCAAAGCACTGTCCTATTCCTGGATTTTTCTAACGGATGGTATCACGATATGTAAGGGCGCAAAAGATGCTTCGTTTCGATTATCTTCGCCACCACTAGTGCTCAAACAAACCATACGCGGACCCGAACAAGCCTCTTTCTAAAATAGCTTGTTATATACATCAAGACAGGGTGTGACAAAATTTCGGCGGCTGGTGCCACTTACTGAACAGGATATCCATTATATCAGATAATACCTACCCAGGCCAGATGGCTAATGAAGCATTGTCGAAACTGAGCTACCTTGTTGATGCTAGCGTCCGATCTCTCATGGAGGATCCTGTGAAATCGTCATTTCGGCCCAATATATGGTGGTTTGAAACCCACTGGCATATATATATATATATATAACCTTGTATCCGGCACATTTTTGCCTGTAGACAGGGGCTAGACTGTAGACACCTGCGTATATTTTCGATAACCTAACACAACAGCATTCCAGCCTGGCATGGATGTGCCATTAATGGAACGTAAAATGGAAGAAGGCAGAAAAAACTAGCGTACGCAGCCACCCTGGGCGAAATGACCTAACTAAAGAGTTGTCAGCGCATTCATCGGTTCCATTCATCTAACCACTCTACGTTCACCCGGAAGCGCGAATTCAAGTTACACAGGGCTACCCGAAAAGTGGGGATGATTTTAGCCGGTCTCATGAGTGTTTGTGGTCAGAGAACCATTGGACAAATTCACTAAAAACAACGAATTTGTCCCCAGGCATTAGGATCTCCTCATTAGAACTGGTTGTCAATGAATCCTAAGAGAGTCCTGTTTTTCAGCTGGTATTTATAAATCGATTCAGTTTTGAATACTTTGGTAAATTGTTTCCTTAAACGCTTCACCTTTCACAGGAACAAAATTAAGGACGCCTTGGAATTCGCAGCAACGAAGAACAAACAAGACGAAGATTGAATGCAATGTGGTCTGGAATATATTTAACATTTCAGAATAAGTCCTTCTTTTCTCTGCAAAATTTACCAAAGTAGGAAGAATAACGGGCTGGTTATCAGTGAATGACGGACACTGAGGTCTACAGGTAGATTGGTAACAATAATAATAATGATGAGTAAAACTTCAACTGTGATACTCTTACGGTGCCTAGCTGCCACGCACCCCAAGCACGAGGACCTAAATACTGCCAGGTCGACTAAGCCTAGACAGGAACAGTGGGGGTGCAGAAGTTGGGTTCGAACCAAGGGCCGACCGGTCTGTACGTTCGCGTCCTAACCATTAAGGTATCTTGAGCTGTCGGGCATTTCTTACTAATGTCTGATTTTAGGTGATATCTTGGGAGAAACATTACTTGGTAGGTTGATGGTTGACATGGATGTTCCAAAACAAACTAGGGCTGCTGCCCATAATTGTGAACACAACTGGGTGGCGCGAAATCCGGTTAGCTGCTGCGTATGAGTATGAGATGAACCGCCAGAGTAATAAGAGCAGTATCCGGAACGGGGTGGATTTTGGATAGTTAGTTGACCATTTAAGGACGCTCACACTGAAGTGGAAACCTTGAGATTGAATGATAGTTCACTGGAAACCAACAAACTCAGTTGGGCTAGCGGGCGATATAGGTCTGACAAGCTACCAACATTTCTTCACTCCTTTGAGTGACAGCAGGGATGAAGTACTTCACTAGTGATTAGAGTAAACTTACCTAAATTCCTGTCTCGTGTGTTGTTCAGCTGATCCAGCCGAATTCATGGTCTGAGTAGTTCCAGAAGCGACCGGAACGGATAGTCTGGGTGAGGTTATCCCTAAGCTTCTCCATCCGCCTATCACATCCATCGCTAGAACTCAAAGTTCCATGAAATCTGAGTTCACATACCCATGAGCTCGTGATCACTCCTTATACCATTGCTTCCACCGTAAAAATGGTATTTATGCCGCCCACGCATTCCGACCTCACACACTCCATCTCGTCATTTTTTGCGCTATTTATCCACTGATTTTCACGGTATGTGTCAATCAATACGCTCCCATCCCTTGGATCGCGACATCACCAACAATCCTACGACATTCGCTGAGGATGCAGTTCTAAACAGGGGAAATGTGCCAATTTTTTCCCACACTCGTCAGAATCGCAGTAATTGAACGGTTCAGCTACACGTGTCCTCGTGTTTTCAGCAAATCTGCTCTTTTCGAGAATGCGTTCCGCTCAAAACATACGTACTGTCATCACTGAAAACGTTGAGGATGGGTTAATCAGTCGAAAGACCCATCATTTCCCCGCCGAAATTTGTAGAACTGTTTTTTCATTACAACTGTACTCCTCCGCTTCCTGAATATAGTTAGTTCATTAACTCGCACCCCAGCCCAAGACGAAAACGAAGAAGTTGCCAGACTCCAGGCACAAAACTTCATCTTATCTCCGCAGACATTCCGACCAAATCCACGACTCTGACCAAATTTCCACTGCTCGCCATGTCACTCAGGGATGCCTGCTGTCGCTACACATCTGTAAGCCTCCTAGTCCGAATTCTATCCTACCCATTTTGTTGAGTATTTGTGCTCCAGAACTTGCTCGTCCTCATTTGGGTAGTCCCTCTAGACGGAAAGGATCAGCCAAAGTTGCTTTCTGTCCGGTTTCCATATTTACGTCCAAATTTCTGGAGTCATGCTTGGATAAGCAAACTCTGCGAGATCTGCAAAATGATTGCTTTCTAAGTCAGCATTTGTCTGGGTGCCGGTGACCTACTGGGGTAGGTTTCACGCGTGTGATCCTCCGTCCCAGATTAATTTCTTCAAACCGAACTGGCAAGCGTGGACGTCTTGAAGGTATTCGACCCGATGTGACACGGAAACCGATTGCCACACTAAAAATTTGGGAACTGCATCCTGACTTTGGAAACTTTCTGATTAGAAACAAGTATGCCTTGACAGTGATCCGATTCAGCCTAAAGTCAACGCACGCGCTCTCCAAGTTTCCGTTCTTCCCCCAACATTGTTCCTCGTGCCCAATCAACGATGTCCTATCCTGTTCAGCGCACACGACGCCGACATTTATACACTTCCGCAAGATATACTTAATCTCTTGACCACTTCGGCAGAACGGGAGCCAGGGCTACACGTCGCGTTAACACTTCAACGGCTGCTCATGTTACATCTTCCTAGCCTACGCAATATGGAAGCTAGTCTGGTATCCACCGAACTTTGGGGAACCTGTCAGTTTCCCACGAATCAAGAAGCGGACCTTTTTCCAGTCGCTACCAACGACTTAAGGGGTAACACATGATAATCCGAAACCTTCCTATATTCGTTTAGAGAGTAGGATCATTCAGGCTAATTTGCAAATGAGCGCACACCTCGTATCAAGTAGAGTCTGCTGCCCAATTGACATGGCAGACTGAAAGAAACAAGGAATCTGATAGGCGTCAGGAGGTGAAAAGCCGGTGGTGTGCTGGAGAGTTTTCGCAAGCCTCAAGAGGAGTGTTGTGACGAAATCATACATATGCTTCTCCTGCGTACGTTGCAGCCTTTCAAACCAGTTGAACAGCGCACACAGGTGGCTTCCATGTAGGTACTATACAAACACATCTGGGGAGCTCTGAATACGCGTATCTTGCAAGGGTTAAACACACCGATGGTTAGAACCAAACACTCTTCAGAGCCCCCAAAATTCTCAACACATGCGTAGAATTCCACTTGGTTTCGCCTGATACCAACTCTTCACCTTGAGGACGTTTTGCGGGATTTATTAGTACGCTTCGACATTCCTGCTGGATGAATGCAAATGGATCATGGTAGCTACATTGACTTCAATATGCACTAAATTTCAGACAGGGNATTCCTGCTGGATGAATGCAAATGGATCATGGTAGCTACATTGACTTCAATATGCACTAAATTTCGGACAGGGTAACTAGCACTACACATTTGGACCAGAGCCGATTCCGACCTCATTTTCGAACTGCAGTCTGGTTACGCTTTCAGGAATTCATGTCTCCAGTTGGAAAACTCCTTATTCATCAATTTAAACGGATATCCGGTATTGGTACAATCCACAGTAGCAACGCCAACCACTGCATTGGCTAGAGTCGATAACCTTCGTGAACTAATAGTGCCACTTCTGGACGCCAGGCAACGCTGCTATAGGTAGCGGGCTAACTGTGAAGCCAAGATACAGCTTGATCAAACTGTTACCTTGGAAGACCTATCGGCCCATTATACATTTCCGGAAACCACTCAATATTTGTTCCTGTCCAGTATGACATTGGAAAACGAAAGCGAATTCGGTCGCATTAAACAGGTGTTCGTAGCCAATCTCGCATAACTGACAGGCGTAAGAATGCCGTCGTATAGAAGGTACTTACAAACACAGTAATGCACGAGCATTAGTATTTTCTTCTCAGGACAAATAGGGTGTTTTAGGTGCGAAATCTGAGTTGACTATCAAGCCTAATGTCTTGACACAGTCCACATGGGTTGGCCAGCTAGATTTCTGATGATGTATGATACTCATAAACGCATGAGTGGGCGGGTTGCTTGTCTGACCATTTGGCAGCTACCAGCCACTTCCATCAGACGCACTTTTCCGGTAAGGTTTACCATAAGATAAACGAGCTGGCGATGGGTTCACGAATTAGGTGTTTTATGGGAAAAAATGCAAATCTTCCAGCAGGTAATGTATTAAGTATTTCATAAAAATATTCACAATTTCAAATCCGGTGAAACACAAGAATTATACAAAGACACTGGGGAATTGTTGGTGGAAATCAGGTTGTCATTCTGGTATTTTTCTGGTAAAAATCTTTCGCCAGGTGCTGAGCAAGATTGGTGAGCGTCGGGCTAGGTGTTGATGGTCCCGGTTGATTTGAATTCAGTTCATCTTCGTCTAGGCCCCGTTTGACAAGGTTGAACCAAAACTCGCTCGTCCGTTCCCAGTAGGTAATGTATGTTTCATTGGGTTCCAGAATGGGAGCTTCTTCAACCAGTTCTAAATGGAAACAGCGTGGTGACGGAGGGCACAATCAGACTTGGTCCTAATTACAACAACGCAATAAATAACCTGACCAGGCAGAGTTAGTACATCGAGCCGCCTTTAGTTCGGTTTGTGTAAGCCACCAGAACGGGGTTAAAATAATGAAACATTTGATTCAAGTGACAGGTCAATTAAGTACCAAAACTGGGAACAACGGTATCAGTTTTTTAGATAAACCAACAACGGCCTTATCCAACAATAAATGAAAAGTGTATGAGTGTTCGGCCTAGTTAGGAATGTGTAAGGGAGTCACGACCCGGCTACTAGGTTAGCGCCAGCCAATATTTGCTTCCCGTAGGGGGAAGTTGCACCATAAACGTCAAAAAACACAGGGGTTATTCGTCAAAATCCTATGAAACTATAAGGTGTGGATGTTGAAACCACGCCGAATCACGGGACATCCTCCGGAATTAGCACGCAAATCAACCGCACAGTAGTTAGTTGTCATTGATGATTATACTGCCAAGATTGTCGGTCATTTTGGAGCACTTTTACCATACGCAATAAGGGTGGATATGCCCATCGGCGAGTGATATTATCATGCACCCTGTATTTGTTCCTCACAATGACTTTCACACAGCCTCACACCGTGGTCCGTTGAAGGGAAAAGGCGTGGCAATCAGCAATGCATAAACAACAAAGTACGCCTTGGCCCGAGAAATGAAATCAGGTAGGTTCATGAATTAGTGACATGAGTGTGGCACAGCTTTTCCACTAAAATGGACAAAAAGTGACTTTCTCGCCCTGTTCCCCTGACATATATACTCGTAAGGTGTAGTTAACTGTCGGGACAGTGATTCATACAAGCAGAGAAATCAGTCAACAGAACGTATTTTTTTTCAACCGGTGGAAGTAGCGAGTGGATTCAAATGGAGTGGTTACATTTCAGACCATCGGCCGACAGCACGTGTGAATTAAATACGATCCTGTGACTCTGTATTGTCCACTTTTTGTATAGGTGCTCATTACAGGCTGAGGGTAACAATTCACGGTCGTCCCATGAGCAAACTTAAAAAGCAAACGTGAAGACATTTAAAGAAAGAAGTGCACGGCTGTTGGAGTGTACGCAGTGACATCAGGATCCAGGAAGCTATATCGTACTGTCTACATCATATGGTTAGAAAACTTCCCACAGCAAAGCACGGACTGATTTATTGGCTTCGACCTGACTTCATCAAGAAAACCCTTGCAAACAGGACTGGAAAACACCATATCCTCCCATACCTTGCAGGTCAAATTTGGGATACCTGAAAAAAAAACAACCACTCGTCTTACAGATATTCGCTTACTGACTGACATACATCGACGCTAGGTTATACCCTACGTTCCAGAGTCAATTCATTATCGTTGCGATAACAGTCTACTTGCAAAAGGTCTTGGACAATATCGGAATTTTTTTGAGAATTACCAGCGAACAAATCTGGCAATGTGGCGCCTTTTGGTTACATAAAAAATGAGTTATTTGGAAGGTTGGGTTTTTATTTAGTTCCTTTATCAGTTGAAGGCTAACTGGAGTAGCGCCTCAACAGAATTCCGAATTTCAAAATCAACCATCGCGTCCAATCACCAGTGACAGATGGTGGTCAAATAGTACATCCACAACAGATTATATTAAGGCAGTTGAGCTGACGTTCGCGCAGATCCCTAGGTCCATTGAATGGGCGCTTCCCGTCCCGTACGAATATTTTGACTTAAGCTTTTACAGGATACCGTGAAACTCAGCATTAAAAGTGGTAAAGAGACAACTTTGTCTCACTATTTTCAAGTGTGATTACTTTCGAGACGTATAGTAGGAGACGAACATAAGAACTATGCGACCAAAGTAGAAATACGGAAACATACCTTCATCGTCACCATCATCGTCCGATGTGCTATCTTCATCGCTGTCGACATTCATTTCGTGAGCATCTTCTTCGTCATCATTCTCATCCAAATCACTTCCATACCACTCCTGGAATGAAGAACAGGAATTTGAGGCATCGAATCACAATCGAAACTTGGAGTTTCGTGAAGGAAGCACACAGGTGGAAAGTCCGTGCATGCATTTGCCACAAGTCACCTGCTACCGAAGTTGCCCAACACTTCCGAAGATCCGTTCTCATAAGCTAAATACTGAAAGCTTAGGTGTTAAACTTACTACTCGGGGTTGGACATGGTTGACGCCACATGAAACTTGCAAGAATAAGGGCCAAGGGGCTGGAAAGCCGCTCCCGTAAGATAAGGTACACTAGCCGTGACGTGAAAACAAAGTTGACCTTGCGTGTCCGAAAGATTAGTTGGTATTGTACCACATCATCGTCGGACGAACAGCTCTCTTCGGCACATTTCCGGACGACAGCAAAGCTCGAGTTCCGCACCGACACAAATCGAATCACAATCGAAACTTGGAGTTTCGTGAAGGAAGCACACAGGTGGAAAGTCCGTGCATGCATTTGCCACAAGTCACCTGCTACCGAAGTTGCCCAACACTTCCGAAGATCCGTTCTCATAAGCTAAATACTGAAAGCTTAGGTGTTAAACTTACTACTCGGGGTTGGACATGGTTGACGCCACATGAAACTTGCAAGAATAAGGGCCAAGGGGCTGGAAAGCCGCTCCCGTAAGATAAGGTACACTAGCCGTGACGTGAAAACAAAGTTGACCTTGCGTGTCCGAAAGATTAGTTGGTATTGTACCACATCATCGTCGGACGAACAGCTCTCTTCGGCACATTTCCGGACGACAGCAAAGCTCGAGTTCCGCTCGTACCGACACAATCAGCAACAACAACACTTCTCAGTCGAAATGAACGTGCCACGACTGCACCGACGGAACACGCTGAGCATACCGGAATTCTCACATCTAAGCAGGTAAACAGACACGAGCACAACCACATCATTTTTAACCGCCATTAATCCGGTGCGTTCGGTATACGCTGACAGAAGCATGGAGAAACAGCAAAGTGTCCCCGATAGGCTTGAAGACGGGGATTTCCCACAAGAGATTGGGACAACAGAGCTGCTCATTTGAATAATCTGGAGACAAATCTGGCAAACATTAGTTGATATAACACAGTACTTCCAGGATGGGGACCGCGTGATCCTCACTGTGCCTGGTTGGAGACACTACAAGATATGGCTGCCAGTCGATGTCAGTGGGGTTCTTCTTGTCAGTTTCTATCCAGATTGCCTGAGTGAATGTCTGGAGGTATAGGCACCTCGGAATGATTGTGGTAAACTAGCACTAAGTCCCTCCTCCGTCCACTTTTACTCTTTTCTTTACAATAAGGCTTTCGAATAAATCATGGTTGCACGGCAGCGAAGCACTGGTGTTGTGCACTGATGTCATGCTGTCGATGATGATGAGTACTTCAATATAACGGAGCACACTTCTGTCACGAAAATAACTGGGGTAATTTAATATAACTTACTTATAAAAAAGGTATTGAATGTAGCCTACCAAATCTAAATCATGTGATAATCGTCATTTCAAGGTCCAAGTTAATAGCAAGTCTGCTCAACATACTTGTTCCGCCTGTGTGCCAGGATACAAACACTGCCACGAGGCCGGTCTATTCAAGTCTAGGGAGTAGAAGTCGTCCAGAGTGACTTTTCGATCGCCCACTTCGAAAACGCCACCGTATACGTACAGCGTTGATCCCAAGATAACGAATCCTGAGCTGGACCGGGCGGGTGGGAGGATTTGTTTGAATGTATCAACTTTATTCGTCAACACCTGATCACCGCTTCCAGTTGCATCCTTCGTTCCCAAGGTAAGGGTGAACACACCATGAGCAAGTTGTGACGGGACCACGGGAACCGAAGTTCCATTGGGGGAAACGCTCATCTCTAAAAGGAGAGTTTGGGTTGTGAAAAAAAAACACGAAATTAATGTTGCACACAAAATTTGCCCATTCCATGGGCATTTGAAAACCATACCTGCAGTAACGAGTGAAGTGAACCCCAAAAACTAACCGGCTAGCATGGGCCGGTGGATTCATCTGCCAAACACCTGAACAATTAGATGACACGTTGAAATCCTTTTACAAAACATAAACTAAGGGTAAGACAGACAACAACAAAAAAACCCTGGGAAGCATATGGCCCTTCTACCTACGTAGACGTCGCTCAAGGATCCAGATAGCACCACAGAAAGAGATTTGAAATGCACCAAAGTTCAAGCAAGTCATTAGGCTGAGCAGACAACCAAGGCAAAGAGTTGAAACGTCTGGCGAAAATGTCCTGAACTAACCCCCCCCCCCCCCCACAGAATCGTGAGATGCGCACCGCTGCGCCAAAAACAAAGGCTCTCCGGAGTTTTGTGAGATGCGCACTGCTGATGATTCCCAATAAGGATGACACAGCTGTACAGTGCTCCTCGGCTTTTCAGCATAGATCGGCTTCACTTACAGGACGAAACCTCCACAAGGACTACTTGCGACATATGTTGACCTTACTGGCATGATGGATTACCAAACGGATAAGTCAAAACCTCCTCACTGTCTGTAATTCAGACACCGGAACAATTGAGGGACTGTAATAGCAGAGAAAATCAGTTTGTTCGTATGCGAGGATAGAAAAAGGACTGAGCTGAGCTCAATCAACCGCGTGAATCAGGATGCACTCATATTACATCTCTTGCACAGTGGAAACCTCAAGTCGTCCTCATATATCACGAACTGCACGACAACTGTTCTGCTGGGGGCCAATTTCCGACTACCTAGGTTTGACAACCCCTCCCATAATGATCATAATTAGCTACAAAACTTGCACAGCAATTAGCTAAAAATTGCTCAATAATGGATGAAAAGAGAACAGTAAATCGTGTCAATAGTAACGCGAAGATCCAGTAATGTTACATAGACGAGGCAAATCTCTTACTGTCAACAAGATCAAGTTCCTCCATTATTCTCTGCTGGGACCGACCGCCCGACTGACTCGATAAATCCAGCTCGTTGGTCTAAGATGTTATCCGTGGGAATCGGCCCAAGGCTATGTAGTTATATTAATATCACTACGTTCGTCACGGAAATTCCGTTCTGTCATCATCAACAGCCGCATCAATACAAACACTATCGTTACTTATCTAAACAGGCAACTTGTGTTGGCGACAATGGACCACTAAAACGACGTCGTCTTGGTGACGCCACAGTGCAAACCATGCATTAGGAGCGTGTAAAGTAATCCAGTGCGAGGCTACCAATAAATCGAGAGTTGAGAATTGTTTTGCTGCATTACCACAACCAATCACCTCACGATCCACTCTTGGAAACATTCGTATCCAGGGCAATTCGACTCCTTTGCCGTAAAAATGCTGATAATTAAGTTCACTCAATCGTGCAAAAAACGCAACACCCATTCAGAAAAGTGCCATTAATCAAGCTCCCAGCAAATTGAGACAAAGGTCACACAATCCTAATTTGCAAATGAATGTTTGACTTCGGATGATTACCTGGTTCCTTTTGTCCCGTTTCAATAGACGCTGGTGTCTGTCTTGGAAGGACGTAGTTGAAAATGTGCCATTTGGCTTTGTCTAGTTCGAAGACGAACATATCGTTGTGAAAGTGACCGAAAACGCATTCGCCGTCGTCGGTCTCAACGTCATGCACACCGCCAAACAGTAGGGCGCTATTGGCAGTAAGTAGGACACCGGCCATCGCAGTTCGGGGTGGCTTTGGACGTACACCAGATTGTCGTACAGTAGAACTGTTGGCTGCCAAACCATCTTCTTCATAAATAAGATAGTGGGCATAAGAAGGCTGTATTCATTTATGAGAATGCAGAACAGTGCGAACAGATGTATTATAGTGTGATTTGAGAGACAAAACCGTCCGACGCCCTTTGAATAACAAATTAGTTTAATGAAGGAAGTTTGATCGAAATTAACGGGAGATAAACCTAGAGATTCTACAGATGGCGCCGTGTGCCGATTATACTCCAGAATGTCGACTCACAGATCAATCATTCAAGAGTGGCATTAGAACGGTCTGTAGCTTCGAACGTTGGATCTACTAAGAAGAAAGACCACGCGTGGGTACCAGTTTTGCGGTTACTGAAGTCACAATTTTCAAAGCAATTCTGATTGGGACAAAATAGCAGGACTGGAGTGTGCGTCGGTTTCACCACTTCGTCAGTAAACCATGCGCATGGAAGTGATTTGCTGAACGAAGTAACTTGTATAGTATTTTTAGACATTTAGGTGCATGTTCTGCGATCTACTCTACGCAACAAGCTCATGGGTAAACCAACCGCGTTTATTGGTGGAGAAGTCAGTCCTGGCTACTGATTCCACTGCAATGATTGGAATTGAGATCGCGCGTTTTCATCAGGTAATCCGAAATTCCGCCTTATTTGGATAGTGGTAAATTTTTCCCACATGCACGGTCACAAACGATTTTATCAACTCGACTGATGGTGTCGTTTTCTTCTTGGTAATGACTCACCTAGAAAAGCTAAATAGCCCTCCTCATAAAGATAAGCTTGGGAGTGGGTCATTTTGGAGACCGCCCATCTCTTTCCAAGGTTAATCAGTGCTCTATTGGCGTTCCGTACCAGCAAAGAAACATGCACACAAACCAAAACAAGTGACAGAAACTGTGACTGATACTCTGTTTGTGATTTCATTCCTGATAGTATGAAAATGAGGCGCATAAACCTAGCAACATCTAGGTTACTAGACACAACTGAAAAGTAATAGAGGCTGCGATGCAGAGAAACCATCCGCAAAAGTGACATGTGTGGCAGTGAAGGCAACGGTCTTATCAATTTCTTTGTATTTCGAATGCAAGATGGGTAATAGGTTATGGGCTGAGTGCACGATACATGGATGTATTGAGAAACGAAATCGATTTACTTACTTTCAAGAGTGATCCGGAAAAAGTCAGTACATGCAACACCTCTTTCCACCTCTTTCGATAGCGCTTCCTTTCTATATCCACCAAGTATGTAAACCGTTTTCAAATCTACCCCGGGAAAGAACAAACAAGCAGAGCGTGGAGCAGGCAAGTCACCAGCTAGTTTGATCATTGTCCAATGTAAGGAAGTGATGTCGAACTGCCATAGGTCATTGAAATATAAAGTTTTCCTGTGTATGTGGTTTTAAAAAGATGGGTCAATTGACTAAATACCTCCCTGTGTCGCTGAAGCCACCAAACAAGAGGATCGAATTTTTCCAAGATAACATCCTGTGCCCACTTCGTGCGCAAGGGCCAGAACCACCTTCCGCACTAGAGCAGATAATTAGTTTCCAAGCGAACGTACCGAACAAGTTCCCACTTACGAGTTCGAATACGAAGAGACCACAAATCCTTGTAGTGGTAGAAACGAACTTGTGTGGGAGAAGCATATTCACCGCCAAAGATCCAAACACTGGCGGGGATAGCGTTGGTTTTGATGAAGACCGCCTACAAAAAGCTAGAACTGGGAGATATGGGGTACCTGGTGGCCAGAACGCGGTGGAGGTGTGGTTGGCGACCGTACGAGGTCCCAATTCATAGTTCCACAATGATAAATGAACAAGTCTGAATACATTGTTGTCTAAGAAATAAGATAAAACGCATTTCATTCACTTTTTTGCCATCGAAATATTCGCCTCCGAACAGCAGTAGCTCGTTGGTTTCCGGGGATGCAGTGAAAGTGAAGTGTGACCTGAAAATAGCGTACATTTACAATAAGAAGGCACACCTTGGTGACGGTGGTGCACATGCAATTACAGTAACTTCTGTCAGCTTTTCTTGCTCCTTTTTAAACTCATCTATAAGCTGTTCTATCGATTGTTCACCTGAGGCCTTTTCCACCTTCATAACTTTCTTTTCCAATTTGAGCTGAGTCTTTTTTACAGTCTTTTCGGCTCCCTTGCCCTTTCGTTGTTTGTCCTTTTTGCCCATTGTAGCAGTTCCGGGAATACTCAGACGATAGACTTGGAACTATCCTGTGAAAGACACCAATGATAGAATATAGTAGCTGTAAAATGGGAATAAGTGATAAATGGAGAAAGATTTATATCCAGTTCTATGCGACACCGAAGTCATGGATGCAGGTGAGTACTCGTCCAGAAGTAAATATGATGGGACAAGTCTCTTGCAGGCCTACTGGCTAACGCGTGTAACTAGTCCGTGTACCCGAGTAGCACTTTGTGGATTTGACTGCTCGGTTGTATCAAAAAACGCTAGGAGTAAATATCACGAAATGGGTTCGGTCTAATCGTTGTTAATTATCGAAATGTTCAAAAGAAACCTGCTGCTCAAGCGACTTGTTCACTGTCATTGTGCGATAGACGTGTCCTCACTAGACTCTTGGGCCAAACTTTGTACTAATGAAAACGGACGGCACGAAGAATCACAGGACGCTCACTATTAGCATGTTTCTGTGTCTAAACCATACAAACCAAAAGGACATGGTTGTGATAGACCGGGATGCCCTAGTTGTGTAGTGAAGTTTCAAGCTGGTACGACTGTGTGAACTTATCGTAGTGGACAGCTGTTGGTAGAACGTGCCTCCCACCGTAACTGAGCTACGCCTAATTAGTGCATCGAACACCGTGAATAGTGAGCAACTGATATCTAGACCAGTTCGAGTTCTTGTGGAGGTGAGCAGTCGGAGAGCACGAATTCGACAGCCTACGGTAACTAATCGTACACAGGACTCATCTCGCAGCACATGAGCCCTAAAGCCACTAGTGCAACCCGCTGCAACAGGAGCAGAATCAACTTGGACCCGCCACTTTGACTTGGTTGTCAAACTTGAGTGCTGCGATGATCCCGGGAGCTATACTGGCTGGAACGTCGTTCCACAAGGTGCACCCATGCCAGAAAGGCCAGAGCTGAGCAATCAGACCAAGATCAACGAAACCCCGTACTCCGAGTAATCGTGCTGAGGCGGTTGCACTGTCCTCTGCGATAAGTGTGAAGGGAGCATGTCAATATTCGTGAAAACAGCGATTTTGCCTTTCCTCGAGGAAGGACGGTTTAGAAAAGGTCAGCCCTAAAAGCCGCACAATCCGGTCGCCCAACGATTGGGTAGGAACGCCGGCGCATTATTCAATACGGTCGAAGTACTTTTACAACCAGAGTCGGTGCTGTTTAAAAGGCACTTGCTGCGCGCAGCCACATCAAGAATCAGGCAGTAGTGCATTACACCCTGCGCCTTCGAGTTAGGCCAAACCCCTGCAGCTGAGCAGATCAGACTATCAAATCATCTGCCCAGGCAGGGTCTTCAAAGAAAATCTTAATGTCTAATGCCTCGGGGACCAGGCTTTTGGGTCGAAGGCTAGGAGCAGGCTCCCACTGCCTTTGACTCAGACTTTTGAATCAAAGACTCAAGGTGGGTGCCCAAAGCAAACCTCATTCCTTGATCAGAGCAACCGAGAAGTATCATCTGGTCACACAGTCCCGTCTCCACCGTGGACCCTCCCAAATCCTTTCCCAGCACACTATGTCAAAGTAGCAAACATGAAATGCTAACTGATTCATGCTGTGTATCCGAAAAACGCATACAAGACCCAACCATGGTTGTGCATCTCAAAACGCTAATGACTAACTCAACTCTTTCACATTTCTCCCTCTGTGTTACCAAGAGGCGAGGACTCGTGGAATACATGAAGTGGGGGTAGCACTCTGCTCCAGAGCTGAACGGGTCTTGCTGGATTGGATCGCAGTGAACAGTCGTCCTTGCACAGCTCAATCAAGCCCAATGCCTCTCGACATAAAAATCGATGTCTGCGTGTACTGTCAGCTGATGCCACAAAGGACTGCAGTTCTGATGCTGAAGAGGATACTTTCTACCCGTATCTTTAAAAAGGTTGCGTGAAAACCACTGTCACATCAGCGTGATAGCCGTAGACCCGAAGATGCCCTCTAGTCTTATCTTTCGAAGGTTGACTGAACACCGGGAAAAGTCAGTGAAGAGCTAGGTTCCGTCCTGGAAGAGGATGCATCGATCACATTTTCACCATCCGACAGCTTCTAAGGCAGCGACATCGCTCACAGGGACAAACAAGCTTGTGTTCACTGACCTGAAATCTGCCTTTGACTCTTTGGATCGTCAGACACCACGGAAGTGTCATTGAAGCAAAGGTGTCCCTGATAATATTTTTGCCCTCCTTAAGACACTGGACGCAAACTACCGTGGGCGTCTGAAGGTCTACGGGAAGCTCACACCTGAGTTCACTACATCAAGTGGTGTCAGGCAAGGCTGTCCTCTTTCACATTTCCTATTCAACTTCGTCAGTGATACGATCATAGAAGGCTTACACACAGCCTCCAATGCCTGTGTGGTCGAAGTTATCGCGTGGAGTCCGACAGGAAAAGACTGGACCTCACCATGATGCGGACATTTGTGTACCTCCACGACCCATTCAGCTACACTGGGATGCGGGTGTCCGTGTGACACTCAGACTGATGCCAGGTTGGTCCATGGGTAGATGTCTGACGAACACAGTCTCCTGACCATCCAGTTTGAGGGTTGGAACATGTGTAGTGACGTGTTCCGTAAACACGGCGATGCACTTGCATCCCCCGCCTAACACCGCCGCCTTACGGTTATGCTTTTGAGCCAAAGGCTTTGGTTGAGGATCCTAATCGTCCTCCTGTCCAGGTGTGGGCGCCCTGGCAGTATGCCAGTCCTAGTACGACCATCACATTTACAGCTAACAATACTCTCATGTCATATCGGCCGTCAGGTGGTGCCATCAACAGAGTCACTTGACTGGCTGCGTACAGCAGCGCGAGTAAGCGAAAACGTACTGCTGGCAGCACATTCCTTTTTACACTTTCCCGTTTTCCCTCTTCCACCTTACTCCACTCGAAGCTGAACACTCCGCAGGTCCTAGCAGCAGGACTGACTGTTTTTCTTGCCCTGCTCTGAATATGCGAAGGAGTATCTATGAAGCTTTGGGTGACCTTCTACAACGGGCTAAAAACTAAAGACAGTTGTGGTTGCTGGTGACATGAACACCCAGGTGGTTAGACTAAGCGCTGCTGAGTTCCGAGTGAGTGGTCGTCTTGGAATGGTGACGAGACGCACAGACTACGGGGTTCGCTAACTTCGGATGAGTGCCAATCACAGACCGTTCCTTTGCAGTACGAATCGCCGGAACAGCGGCAATCACTTGAAAACGTGATACTGACAAACAAACCAGCGTCGAGTCCAAGTAGACCACATTGCCGTCAGCTATCGGTGGCCAGGATCTATTACCGACTGCCGCTCCTTCTGAACACCAGCGTGGACTACAAACATGGAACTGTACGCTTCTGCTTTTCATATATACGCAAAAGACACACACCTCACTTAGCCATTGGAAAGCTGGTGGACCAGGAGTCAGACGAAACGTGTCAGATCAAACTCCTCGAACGCCTACCGGACGGTCCAATGTTGGATATATACGAACACTGGGAAAAGATACTCAAAGCCGGAACGTCTGTTTTCGGCACCACCCAGCCAACCTCATCCAAACACTGGATTTCTGATAAGACCACGTCTCTGTTGGAGACCCGGCGACAGATTCCTGATGGCCTCAACCACAATTCCACCTGGCGCCAGGTGAAACTGAGTGCCCGTGCAGACCGAGAGGCTTGGTGGACTAGAAACGTCGACGATACGGAAGATGCAAAGAATGCTGGAAAAGTCCGCAAGCTGTTCCACTTGATTTGTTAGAATAATTCTCGGAAACCTCTTGTCAGCGAAATAATCAACAAAGCGGAACGTTTGAAACGCTGGGCACAGTAGTTTGAACAGAAATTCAGCTGGTCACCTGTTATCTCTACTCCAGAATCCTGGACTTCAACAGAAAAGTGGACCGTTAATATGGAGCCGCCTTCAGTCTCAGAAGTGTATTTCTCCACTCGTCATCCTGCTATTGGTCCTAGCGACCTTCCAACTGCTCTTTTCAAGGATGGCGATGGATTTGTCATCTAGTGCACGTCTAGCCTATTTGGGTCTATCCAGGAAAGAGAGATCATCCTAGACAAGAGGAGTGAATAAATAGCAGTCATCATCATCAAAGACAGCAACAT